GGGGGTGTTTTTAAGTTGTAACCTTAAGCGATGACAGTGCCTGTGACATTTGAACATCTGAAGCCGTAAATGTCTTTGCCGGTTAAATGCCAGCTCTCCGTGCAGGCGGTGCCTCCGCAGCTGTCATGTGGCTTTTGGTGGCCCCAGCCAGGCGCCCCCTCCACCCCCCTAGCTCAGAGGGTGCTAGGTCGGTGTGGCCAACAGCGGGGGGCTTTTCATAGACACTCCTGCAAGGGGTCAGGTGTCTGTTCTGTTCGGATTCAGCATTTGCATGACTTTGACCCCAAAATGGCAGTTTCCTGTGGTTCAACCCTGTATTTGCTAAACAGGGATTTGTAAAGGGTTGTTTTTTGGAAAGAAAACGTGAGTGTCTCAATTTCCTGTTCATAGTAACGAATCATCACTGTCCAGTATCCTGGGGCTACTTTTTCTTTTCAGGTTTTGTAGCTGGTTCTATAAATTAAAATACCCCCGATGGTGTTCATGCTGGTACATACCCCTGCGGAGTTGGGAGAGAAACCAGTGAGCGGTAGGTCTGCCCCACTGGGTGCAGATGAGTCCTCCTAGGAAAAGCCAGGAAGGTTGGGGAAGGGGGACGGTAAAAAGGCCAAGGTGAGAGGAGAGATAGGTGGGAAAGAAGAGAAGAAAGGAGTGGGAGGGAAATCGACAAAAGGAAAAGATGCAAGGGGAGAGAATCGATGGGACCAGACAGAAAGCCATCAAATAGAAAAATTAACAAGAATGAGCAAATAAGAATTCGAAGCAGAGGCGGAAAGGGAGAGGTGTCAGAGCACCTTCTCATGCGCCATCTCCACGGGTCCCTGAGATACTGGCCGTCTTCTGCCTCGAAGTTCTCCAGTGGGATTTACAGCATGAAGGGTTGTCCCTTGTTCTCCTCGGAACTTCGGCCGTGTGCAAGATGGAGAGCTTTGACATTTAGAGAAGTCCAGTATCCCCTAATCATTGAGTTTCTTCCAAAAAGGAGATGTTCAAAATGCACAAAGTTCGTATGATGAGAATTGTACATCCCAATGAGAATTGTACATCCCACTGGGCAGAGTCATCGCCCTGCCTTTGGCTGGAATCTGATAGAATCCATCATGTCCCATCCCGGTGGCTGCTTGTGAGCCAGTGGGAGCTCGTTGTGGACAGGGTCCTACAGTGTCGGAGGAAGCCTTCCCCCTGGGTGCTCACGTGGGAGTGGTCTTCTCAGCAGAAATCAGTTGACCGTGGCGAGCTATTTTCAAAGTTGTGGAATGCAAGCAGTATTTAGACACTCATGCTCACTGATGGGCATTGTTAATGAGATGCTTTAAGCTAGATTTTTTTCTATCACATTTTCAATTTTTGTGTTTTACCCCTGGTAAACCAGAGAGCATTTTCAACAGGGTCCTGGCCCTGTGGCTGAGCATGGATTTGCTAGTTTTCACAAGTCCTTCTTTTGACCATGGGAAGCGCCAGTCGGAGAGTGCAGAAGAGCACCAGGTCTGAGGCACCCGAGGCATGCAATTTGGAGCCTTCTTGAAGAAGAAGGAAACAATACACAAACCAAAACAATATGCCAGGAAGGAGGCATTGGAAGCGGGGGGGTGCAAGCCAGCAGCCCTGCCGGGAAGCCTCGGAGCTTCCTAGTAAATTTGTCTCCAGGCATGTGCTGTCTTGTTCAGTCAGCACAGCGATGTTTTAGCATCAAGTCTCAGAGGGCTCCTCAAGTTCCACGTGACTATCCCGATGAACTTCAGCTCTGAGGAACTCAACAAACTGCTGTTTGCAGCCTTTATTCCAGAAGGTCCAGTGGGTACCCAGGAGCTCTGCTGTCGGGCATGGCCTGATCAGGGGAAAGGAAAAGGGCAAGTGACCAAGGGAGAGGAAGGTGAAAACAGGAGGGGAGCCCCTCATCCTTGGGCCTCCTGACCTTGACAGTCTCCTCCAGCTTTGACCTCTAACACGTTCCCCTATGAGTCTTCGAGAGCCAGTCCCTAAAACAGGGCTGGTCCCTAAAACAGAATTGGTCAGTTTGTTTTCAGTTAAAAAATAATAAAGGCTTTCTTTGAGCCAACAGAGACAAGCCCATCTGATTTGCAATTTCATAGTTCCTAAGAGAGCTGGGGGTGGGCGTGGACGGGGGTGTTAGGATGAACAAGGGCTGCAGAAGGAAAGTATGAAGGAGAAGCTCCGTCGCCCAGGAAGGGGCCTGTCCTCTGTGGTGGCATCTCAGCCCCCGGGTCCCTGGAGGAGCTGGCCTGCTGGGAGGCTGTTCCAAGCTGCAGGAAACAGAGGCAGCCCAGCAGCTCCGTGGGTAAGAAGACTAAATGGTATTTTCACAAACGTTCTGTGCAAAGCACAGCCCATCCAAGGCCCTGGGCTAGTTTCCAGAAGATGTTTAATCAGGAGAGCCACTCCGGTCCGCCTCTGCCCTGTCTGGCCTGAGCCAACATGTGGAACTGGACGACAGTGCAGGAGGGAGAGTGTGGCCAGAGCTGCTGCAGCCTGACAGCTGGGCTGGTTGGTGACTCCCAGCATGAAGGGTCCCTTCCCCAAGCTGAAATCCCGAGAGCAGAGAAAGTGACTCAGGCGCCCTTTGGCAGGGACTGCTGTGACAAAACGATTTGGTGACTGAGGAAACATCTGCATTAAGTGACAGCTAAGGCCTCACAGCCCCTTCCGAGCACTTTTCACTGGTGGTTGTACGGCATCCGGGGACCCTCCACCCACCCCAGCCCCTTCCCGCCCTTTCCCCACCTTCTCCGAGGCTTTGACCTTCCCTGGACTGCGATGAAACAATCAGAGAAAAGCCAGGATCTTCCCTGAGACTTGCTTTGCTCTTAACACTCCATTAGGAGTTTAATCTTGGCTGGAACCAAGGTCGGTGAACTTCTAAAACCTGTACTTTGCTTAGACTGGCTCCTTCACCTTCTCATGGAGGCTTGGGAGCAAGGAGGGGATGGACTGCCCCTATAATTTTAGAAAGAAGCCCATTCGGCTGAAAATGACACACAGCTGGAGCAAATGAGATAAAAGCTTAAGGAATTGGGCCCTGACCTTGGGTGAGCTCTCTTCCCAGAAGGCTGCATTTGGCGGAACCCAGTTAAGCTTCTGTGCCTGGAGGTGGGTCAGTGAGCAGCTCTGGGGCACCTCTGGGCAGCAGTGGGTGGCACGTCCATCACAAAGCTCTCAGTAACTCCGAAGTTCTGAAAAAGAGAGGGAGGGGTAGTGAGACAAGTAACATTTACTAAGCACCTACTGTGTGTCCAATGTGTAGTGAAGAGAGGTTTGCAATCAAGCAATCCCAGCCCCAAACTCAGATCCCTCCCTTCACCTTAGCTGCAAGGTCTCCATCTGTACCTCATGGTCTTCATTTGTAAAGAGGGAAATACGGTGTTGTAAGAACTTTTGAAGACATGGAGTGGATGCTGGCTTATGCTGGAACGTAAAGTCCCGGCGTGCTCACCTACCATCCACACCGATAGGAGAAACTCTAACAAGTCATTGCACAGAGTCAAGTGGAAGATCGTGAGTGAAGCCTCTTCTAGCTGTTCGGAAATTTGCCCGTAGCTCAAGGGAAGGGTTTACCAAGGAATCAGAGACCCGCATTCCTTTGGCCAATGAGAAAAGTGAAAGAAATGACACGAGACATAATATGACTTTAAAACACTTAGAAGAAAAGGGAATATCTTGTAAAATGTTGGCTTTCTCTTTCACAGATTAAAAAACACCACATTAGCTCAATTAGTGGTTCTTGAACGTGAAGACAGTTTAGCAGGGACTTGGGGGCTTTTACAAACAGTCTGATCAGAATGCAGAAGCATCTCTGGCTCACGGTTTTTCTTTTCTTTTCTCTTTCTTTGTAAAATATACATAATAGAAAACATCATTTTAACTATTTTCAGTGTACAGTTGTGCAGCATTAAGGTCATTTACATTATTACACAGTCATCACCACCATTTGTCTCCGGAACTCTTTTCCTCTTGTGAAACCAAAATGCCAGCCACCTAGGGGTGTCCAGCCTTTTGGTGTCACTGGACCGCACCGGAAGAAGAAGAATTGTCTTGGGCCATGCATTAAATACATTGTGATGTATAATCACAAAAAAAGTCTCATCATGTTTTAAGTAAATTTATGGGTTTGTGTTGGGCCACACTCACAGCCATCATGGGTCACATGTGGCTGCCAGTAACTTCTCGTTCCTCGTCCTCTTAGGCCCTGGCAGTCAGCATTTTACTCTCTGTCTCTATGAATTTGATTACTCTAGGGACCTCGCAGAGGTGGCATCATATGGCATTTGTCCTTGGCTTGTTTCACGTAGCGTGACGTCCTCGAGGCTCAGCTGTGTCGTAGCCCGTGTGAGGAAGCCCGCCCTTTTCACAGCTTGCTGGTGTTCCATTGTACGTGGACGCCGAAGTTGGTTTATTCGTTCATCAGTCGATGGACGCTTGGGTTTCCTCCACCTTCCGGCGATTGGGAATAGTGCTGTGAGGAGCTTGGGCAGACCGGCCCCTGTATTCGTAACAACACAGTAAAAGAGGGGTCAGCAAACAGGAAACAGCCACTCAGACTGCGGCAGGTGGTGAAGCCTGTGGCCCTGTCCGTGGGATTGTTTCCATCGAGGTGACATTGGTTAATAAAATCACGTAGGTTTCAAGCAGGACAAGTCAATGATCCATTGGTGGGGTTGTTTTGAAATAAGATCCTGTCTGCAAACCAGGGCCCCGGGCACCGTGGCCTGAGGCTGCATCTCGCCCCTGGGTGCCCGTGGGGGACTGTGAGCTTGAACTGCTTCCTGAGGTGCCAGGTGGTGGGTTCTGCTGCATGCCGGGTGTCTCCAAATGAAGCCGGGCTGCTGTGCATGCTCTATGCCCCTGGCTAACCAAGGCGTCACTAACCAGTTTCTTTCTCTCTCACATCCCACCCACCCCACCCCCTGCCCTGATGCCTCCCCCCTACCCTGTGCCATCTCCTCATCTGGGCTTCTCTCTGCTGGCTCCCTCCTGCGCTCCAGTGCGACCAAGACCAGTGCATTCAGAGCACCAAATTCGTTTTGCAGGCCGCGGCCACGCCCCTGCTGCAGAGCGAGCCCAGCCTCACCAGCGACGAGCTGCACCTGCCCGGGAAGCCAGGCCTGGGCACGCCCTGTGCCAGCCTGACGCTGGGGCAGCCCACGCCTCCCTCCTCCATGCCCAACCTCACCACCGAGGCCGGGCTCACAGACATACTGCCCCTGAAGGAGGAGCACGTGGGCCACCAGTTCCTGACCCCAGAGGAAGCGCCCTCGCCTCCCCGGCTGCTGGCCGGCAGCCCCCTGGCCCACAGCCGCACCGTGCACGTCCTGGGCCTGGCCAGCCAGGACTCTCTGCATGAAGACTCGGTGCGTGGCCTGGTGAAACTCAGCTCTGTGTGACCATGCGGCCTGGCCACCAGGGACTGCAGGCCACGGGAGTGGGCAGAGGGCAGCCGCCCGCAGGCACTCTCCCATGACTCAGTGCCACACTGGCGAGGATGACTCCTGGTCCTGGTCACAAGGACCACGTGGAGGGTCAATGGATCCCCTCTGATGGCAGAGGCGGCAGGACTCCAGTGCTCACAGCTTGGTGTTATTGGCATTTTCTTCCCCAACTGACAGCTTTGATAACAATGACAATAGAGGGGTAGCTATTTTCAGGCATTCGGAACATGAAAGGTGGGCATGGGGACAGAGGAGCCTGGGAGATCTGACGTCCACGGCTGGCGGGAAGAACAGTGCCTGGATGTCACGCTGTCTGCTTGTTGCTCGTGTGACAGACACACGGAAGGTTTATGAGACTGGTGGCCAGACTGATATTGCACTTACATGTTATGCTACTAATATTTGAAATAGACATGCCATTCCATTTGTTAATTTTAAAAAAAATACCTAAAGGGAAAAAAACGACCTGATGTGGATTTGCATGCCACGCTATTCTGTTTACAGTGGTGTTGGTATTCAGAAGGAAGTGCTGCTTTCTTTTTCTCTTTCTTTTTAATTTTGTGAATTTTCAAGTGCTGTTTAATGGGAAGATGGTACAAGAAACCAGGACTAACAGCACCGTCGCCAGCCAGCTCCTCTGGCCTGGTCACCGCCGCCCGGACAGGCGGGCTGCAGAGTGCGGTGGCCTTTTACCAGATCGAGAACCAGTTCACCTTCTGTTTAGTGGTCATCCCGGGTCTAGTGTCATGCCACATCCGCCACAGTCTCCGCCTCCTGTGTGACCACACTTCCTGTGGGCAGCCAATAAAATGACGTCCTCTGTTACTTGGGGTCTGTGTGCAGTTGTCCTTAACAGCTTAAATGACAACCAAGTCATCGGGATGGCTGCAGAGTCTGTTCTTTTTGAAGTGTCCCTAGCAAGGAGGTCCCCAAACCGCCAAAAATCAGACCGTTGAATTGTGGGTACAGAGGGGATGATTTCTTAGCTAAGAGAGCTTCTTTTCCCATTATTTGTGTCATTGCTTTCATCATCTCTTTTCAACACTGTTTTAGTGGAATTTGTCCCAGGTTCACAGGCAATTCCTCTGTGTCACGTAGAGGGGAGCGGATTCTTGGGGACAAGGTGTGCCATGGGACCATCTGCTCTGCCTCCTGCCAGTGTGGCACCGATGCTCAGACGGGTGACCTGCGGTCCTAGTGAACGTATGGAAAAAAGAGGGGAAACCAGCCTAAGTCTGGGCTGAGATCACGTAGGCTGTCATTCTTACCTGGACACTCACCGGAGTGGAAGTAAGAAAATTACCACTCCGTGCGGGCCCATGCGTCACCTGGAAAGGAACTGGCCGTGTCCGTAGGGAGTCGAGTCTCTGTGGAGGCAGCTGCGGGGACTGCGAGGATTGTCCTGGCTTCTCTCCATTTGGTAAATCCAGTAGCCAGACTACTCAGGCTGAAAATCCTGCAGGCCCCACAGCCGCAGGGACGACGAGATGCCCCAGATGATCGGCATTTATGGGAAAAGGCTGTTTCATCTGAGAAAGAGCTGCTGGTTTTATATAAAAGAAAAAGAAAGGAGGAAAGGACAAAAAAAAGCACAGTTTCTTCTAGTCTTATTGGGAATCAAGCCAATTCTCCATACATCAAAAAAACAATTTGTGCTGGAAATAACCAAAGACTTCTAAGCCACGGTATCTCCGAACCGTCCCTGTCTCATATAGAACAAATAGAAAATGCGAGAGGTAAATTGTGTGTAGCTATTATTCGTTTTCTGGGCCTCCTAACTACTTGGAATTCAGAATGAGGAGGGTAGCATCTCCCCGCCCTTAACAACCGCTCGCAGCCATCGGTGCCCAGGGATTCTTTCTGCACTGTCTGAGAGCAAACGCGACGGCCCCACCACCTGCCTCCGCGCTGCCCATCCCTCTCTGCTCCTTCCTTCTGCTGCCCAGAGCCAGTTGAGAGCTGGCCCCAGCGAGGGAGGGGCAGGATGGCCCCCTCTCACTCTGGGTCTGTGTGGCTCGGTTCACCCCCAACTTCTGTCCCTGGAACGCAGAGACAGCGGTCTTCAGAGTCTTTCCAACATTCTCTAATTCAGTGCTTGCTGATTTCCAACCACCAGCTCTCTTTCCCACCTCCTTATGAAAAAATCCAAGTAGGAGCCGTTATTCATTTGTCTTTACTTGATGAATATTTACATAATATGTATTATCCGTCCCCCAGCCCAGCCTGCACCCCATCCCTGGTACCCACATCATTTATCTAGGAGGGGATGGGGAAGTCTGGGGTAATGAATCAAGGCTCCTCAGGGTCCAAGAGGGAGATACTTACTCAATGAGCCCATTTGCTGGGACAATTAACGTCTTAAAACCCCAAACCAGAGAGGTACCCACAGCCCTGCGCTCTGGCTTGGAAAAGAACGGAGGGTCACAGAATGAACGACTGTGCTCCCAGGAGCTCCCTCCTTGCACTTGGGTGGGGGGATGCTCTCAGGACAGTGATGTGCCTGGTAAGGGGTCTGCATTTCCCATGAACTGGTCGATACACTTTTCAACGCTGAGTGGCTCCATCTAGCCGTGGCTGAGTAGATCTAAATTCTGTCCGGGCGTCACAGGTTGATTGCATGCTAGCTATAAAAAAAAAAAATCAGATAAATATTTTACCGTGCTATTAAAGCTTGGACCATTATCAAACATCCACACTCATTTTCTTCTTTAAAAATTCATCTGGTTTTATTCTCCCAGAAGCCCTCCAGGGACAGTGGGCTTCACAGGCGCTTGAAGGCTGAATTTAGCCTGAAAGCCCTGGTCCCCTAGGAAGGACAGTACGGGAAGCCAACCGCCCACCTCTGAAAGGGCGTGTTGACGAGTCGCCCTGTTCCTGGGAGAACTGGCCCAGCGTGTGGGTGTGTGCTCGTGCCAGCTTTTAAATGGACTGTTTCAGCCCGTGAGAATGCTCGCGTCCGCCCACCCAGTGCCAGCAAATGCCAGATGCCCGCGCTGCCCGGAGAGCACAGGGAGGAGGAGTTTGCAGGGCTCTGCCCAGCCCTCTGCCTGCTCCGCTGTCTTCACCTGTCGTGTTTAGGGTACCAACCGGCCTTCCAAACAAGAAGCGAGCCCCATTTTAGGACCCACATTCCTGCTCCTGAGTGGGCAGGGCTCCTTTCAGGGCTTTGAAAGCCCCAGTCCTGAGCCTGCTCATCTGTTCAACAGCAAGAAAAATGGGTTCCCCAGGCTGGGCAGCAGGCCTCCTGGGCACTGGGGCTTGTGGCGGCATCTCCAGGGAAATTCTGGAACTGCCGGGAAATGCCAAGGCTTCTGAAGGGCACAGCCTGACCAGTCAGTCCCTTTGCAGGTGTCAGAGCCACCGCAGTCCCCACTTCAGCGAATACGGCTCTGTGACCTGACTGTTGTCCCCTGCCCGTCACAAACCATCCTGTCCACCAGAAACCCCGTGCTGACCCAGCCCAGACTAGGTTTCTGGGTTAGCTAGAGGGATCACCCGCATTGTTTAGGGAATGTTTCCAGAGTTGGTTGCCGTTTACTCCTCCACAGGAGTACACTATGCAGCCCGGTTAGTTCTTGCTCGGGTAAGAGGAGAGAATAAAGGGAGAAATGTTAGACATACTTTTCTGATTAATGCCTTACCACTGTTTCGAAGCTGAGCCTACATCAAATGGATGTTTACATTTTGTACGAAGTACCTATGAGCGGTGGGGGTCTAGCATAGTCTTGTCCAAGTGTGAGAGCCTTTCTGATGAACTCTCATTGCCCCTGGTCCCCGCACTGGCCTGGAGGTCTGCGGATGGCCTCGTGTGCTCTTTTCTGTGGGAAACGGCCTCTCCTTGGGTCCCTTGCAATGTCTTTCTCTGTCTCTTATAAATAAGTTATCACTGAGATATTGAATAAGCTGCAGCGTCATTTTCTTTCAAATAAATGTCAGAGGTGTAACAGGTTATTTTTGTAAATCAGTAAATCCTCCATGTACTGGCCTGTCGCACACAATCCTGATAAGACAGCCAAGGCGGGTTTTAAACACGAGCGTTTAGTACATGAATCCAGACATTCAAAATAATTGGGACGTTCAAGATCAGATCGTTTCTGTAGCAACTGCATTTGCAGCCGCCACAGACTAGATAAATGGCCTCACCTGGAATTATTTCTTCAGTCTTACACACCCAGGAATTATATACAGAATGGACTGGAAAGCAGAGGATCATATGCTTCGCAAAGACTTTTCTTCCATCAGTTGTTGACATTTTAAAAGGTGTTCGGTACTGCTGGTGAAGATATGAATGAACAAAGTCTCTTAATTGTCCTGGGTGTTTTAACACAGATACTGAGAGGCGGTGCTGCACCTCCAAGGAAACACAGTTTCTGGGTTCTATACGAATGGAGATGATTTTACCCTGCAATAGAAAAATAATAATATAAATAATATAATAAAAGGTTGAGGTCTTGCTAACCGTTTGCTCAGGGCACTGGGGCACTCTGGGTTGTTATTTCACAAGAGTCCAACATTGTTGAATAAACGAAAAATAAAGCATTTTAAACTGCAAGCACAGTGTACTCAAAGCCCACGGTCTGAGCAGAGGCAAACATCACACGTGATATTACATGTGTTCAGAGGTCATTATGTTCACTGAAGTGCCTTTCATCTTTTAGTAAACATTTGCAGAATTGACCTTGAACCTGAACTAAATTATTTTCCTAATGGCCTCAAATATAAGCAAGTATTTATTAGAGAGATATTGTCACCCTGGCTGGTGTAGCTCAGTGGATTGAATATGGGCCTGCGAATCAAACAATTACAGTTTGATTCCCACTCAGGGCACATGCCTGGGTTGCAGGCCAGTTCCCAGCAAGGGATGCATGAGCGGCAACCATACATTGATATTTCTCTCCCTCTCTCCTTCCCTTCCCCTCTAAAGATAAATAATTAAATAATTTTTAAAAAGATGCCCTTGAAGTAAAACATAAAATAAATATTTATACGCCACTTTTCTAAAGTCACATTTTTACTCAGAAATAGAAACCTGGGCGATTCAATGAAATGCATGCACCGACAGCATTATGGTCCCTGTTGGAGGGAGCAGGAAACACGGAGAGTCTCGTCCCGGGGCACACAGGAGGTCCCAGCGCCAGCCTACTAGCAGCTCCGCTCTATCAGGGCAGACGCTGTCTCTCCTGTGTTCACTGCCGCCAGCCCCCAGCACGGCACCACACCCATCGCTGGGGCTCGTGCTGAGTCAGTGCACGTGCTCCGAACGGGTTAACTGTATCTGATGAAGGGGCAAAATGACTGGCAAGTGGACAGTGGTGACCATTCATATCACAAACCAGGCTAATCTGTGATGAGCCCAGAATGAAGCGAGTATAAGGCGTATACTCCAAACTCTGTGTCATACTCAAACATATCATTGACTGTTCCATATTAGTGCATGACTAGTCTTATATAGTGTGTACTAATAACTATAGTGCATGCTAGTAACGCATATTTTGTGTATTTTTTACCAATGGATTGGTTATATTCCATAAATTAGCTTGAAACGTGGAATGTTTTCACATAGAAACACAAATCATAAATAATATTTAGATCTTAGGCCAGACCACAAAATAATCCATAATCTGCCTAAACTAATACTAATGACAGTTGTAGAATCTAAACACCCCAAAGCGTTCCTGAACCCCAAGCTTTCCTAGGTTCTGAGCCTGGGACTGCGACCCTTAGGTGTCTGGGCCCCAGAAAATGGACTTCCCGTCAGCTGCTGTTCCTGCCTCACCACCAAGTAGATTAAATCCGTTCTTGGAAACACATGGAACGCATCAGATTGTTTTTCTGTTACTACTAGAAACAAACAAAACTTAAAGAAGAAAACTCTTAATTTCCTACTTCCGGAGATTTAAAATCCTTATGTTCTCTTCCAAGGCAGCTCTTGAAAACGAACTTTCCCTCTTTCCTGAGAGCCTTCAGGAATTTCATCTGGGATGCTTTCCTGGCAGAAATTCTAGATGACTTTATTGCTCAATTCAGTTTGACTCACTTGGGACCGAGAATTTATTTTTCTGTTGCTCTCCTGACTCAAAGCTCGCGGTGATCTCTGCCCGGCTGGCATTGAACATCATAGTGGAAAAAATATAGATTATTTCATAAAGTCCTTTGAAAAGGTTTCCTTGAGCCCATCAACATTCTGGAAAGATACAGAGGCGATGGCAACACGCAGAGGCCCGTCCCAATGTCCCTTTTTGAGAAAGCCGGCCAGCCGATGTTCCTGTTGGCAGCGTCTGTGTTTTTTCATTGCACTCTAGCCTGAGTACTGAAACCTAATTAGGCTGTTGGGTCAGTCTGGAAGCTGTTCTAGAAAACACGGTTTCTTGGGACAGTGAGAACAGATGGAGTGGAGGCCACCAGGATTGTTCCGCACCCATTGTTCCCAGGGAAACGCAGACGAGGGCCCTCACTGTCCCTACGTAATGGTCTCGGACCAACTGTGCGGAGGTCAGAGTGGGACCCTACCGCCCAGTGCTCTGCTCTGTCACCAGGACCCTGGGGGTGCCTTAGGAGGTTGTCCCCCCAGATCTGGATGAAAACTAACACCCTGCAATAAAACCTAGTCCCAGAACATGGAGGCGGGTGACCGAGACATGGCCGGGAGGAGGCCTTCTAGGAAGCTCACGACCCCTCCAATCCCCCTGTGCCTGTTGTGCCCCACTCAGCACCCCGCTGCTCAAGCTCAGCCCCCTGCTTCTGTCCCCTACAGGATGCAAACCAGGGACCTCTGAAAGGAAGAGCAGCCCCCCCACCCCAGCTGTCACCTTCCCTGTGATTTGGCACTTCCTTGTGATCCAAGGGCTTCTATGTATTTTCAGAAATTCATTCACATGTGAGCTTCCTGTCGCTGTGGTTAACCTATTTTTAAAGTGTATTATCCAAAGGAAGGGGCTGGCCTTTGTTTCCGCAAACACCTCCGGATCAGCTCCATCACCGGCTGGGGGGAGGGGAGTGTCTGTTGCTGAGAAGAATCCCTTACAGCCTTCCCCGGGCCCTTCAGTGCCGGAAGCAGAGGGGCCCCTCTGAGCTGCGCAGGAAGGCGGGCGTTGTCTACGGGGGAGCAGAGCTTTTTCTTTTACTTTTTCTTTTTTAACAGAATCTACTTCCGTTTTTGTAACCCATGGAAAC